ACAGACACAGAGGACAGACTGTGGTTGCCAAGGGGGAGGGTGGTGGGGAGGGAAGGACTGAGAACTTGAGATTAGCAGACAAACTATTATATACAGGATGGATAAACAACAAGGTCTGTTGTATGACGCAGAGATCTATGTTCAGTATCCTGTGATAAACCGTAATGGAAGAGAATATGAAAAAGAATATATATATATACATATATATATATATGTATATATATATAAAACGGAATCACTTTGCTGTACAGCAGAAATTAACACTGTAAATCAACTGTACTTCAATAAAATTAACAACAACAACAAGTAATCCTTTAGGTGATCATCATGCGTGCTGAAGTTTGAGAACCATTACTGTAGTATACTCTAGGGTTTCCATTCCGGAGCAAACTACCAAAAAGTTTTTTTTTTTTTTGCGGTACGCGGGCCTTTCACTGCTGTGGCCTCTCCCGCTGCGGAGCACAGGCTCTGGATGCTCAGGCCTAGCAGCCATGGCTCACGGGCCCAGCCGCTCCGCGGCACGTGGGATCTTCCCGGAACTGGGCACGAACCCGTGTCCCCTGCATCGGCAGGCGGACTCTCAACCACTGCGCCACCAGGGAAGCCCAAAACTACCAAAAATTTTTGACAATACCTGGTATTAACATTGAGAATCTCAATCTTGAGTCTCTGCTGCTGGGTCTTGCAGTCTAACTTTCTGGAAATAACCATGGCTCCTAAGCTAACGAGCATTTTAAAAGGGCTTTTCCTCACCCTCTCTGAAGTAATTATACTTTGTAAGCACACCTAAGCTTTGCTTTATGACTTTAGTTCATTCCTGAAAACCTACCTCTAAGGGAAAAGTTTTTAACTCAGAAGGTATTTCCATCCATTCTAATGGAAAAAAAAATTATGTGTTCCATGGTTATCTAAGATACCAAAATAGTTTCAGATTTAAAAATATATCAGTTGAACAATGATAACAAGTTTGTATAAATAAATACTTTGAAAGTAAATAAAAACAGTTTGCACTTAAAATGTTATGTAATGATGAGTTATTGTACTTGCAAAATGAGGAAGAGAAGACTTGATAGAGGTGGCTGGTGGTGGAATACAAAGGAGTTATTCTTTGGAAGGGGCTGGAGAGTCAGGTGGTAGACTTTAAAGCTGGTAATCTTTGGGAGTTTGTGGTTATCTTGCACTTAAAAACAGCTGTAGCACACCTGGGCCAGCCACTGGGATACAGATGAAACATAGCCTCTGTTCTCAAGGAGCCTGGAAAAGGAGTGAGATGCCCCAACAGCTCACTCTGTAAAAAGGAACTAACTGCTTGTTGGAACTAAGTGCTATATAGAAAGAAAGCAAAGGAGGGAGTGGCTGCGGAGTCTTCTAGACCCCTTAGTCCTCAAATTAAACCTTAGAAAAAGAGTGGGGTCCTGACTGGTGGAAATGGGGACAGGGTAGGCCATGCTGAGAGAATGGAAGGAGAAAGGTTCAGGACATATGGTCAGGGGATTGGGAATCCCTTTGGAGCACTTGGAAAAGAAAGGAGAAGGAGGGTATGTGTGTGACGGAGACAGCAGTAGGAAAGAGGGCACTGAGCTTATTTCAGCTGCATTCTGCAGGCAACAGGGAGCTATGGAAAGTGTTTGAAGAGAACAGAGCATGTTTTAGGAAGAATAAAATCAACTGAAACAAAGTTATAGCACAGGAAAATAACATTAGGGCAAAATAAAGGTGAAACAGGAGCACCTTTGAAACATAGAAGTCGCGCAGGCACTCAACAGATGGGGTAATCGTAAAGAATGCTACCTCGCCTTGCTTGGTGTTCATATGCAAAGCAAAACTTTCTGATTCATCCAGATGTGTTACATGGTTTATTTGTTCTTTGTAATATTCTCTGAATAGAAATGATCGTATGGAGTATAGCGATGAGTGTGTCTGTTAACTATTCCTTTGTTATATTTTTATGTCTGATTTTTTTTAAGTTGTAATACAAAAAAGGGAGAGGTCATTGTCCAAGAAGTGGCATTACTTTTCAAGGGACATTACAGCAAAAAGCTACCTAACTGTTGTCATGTGGGGCAAGTCTGTGATGAGAAATGACATCAACTATGATGAGTTTAAAACAACTATGATTGAAAACTGTGCTTAAAACAGTCTCGGTTGCTGATCTCCTACAAGCCTTTAGATGAGGCAATTTTTAACTATAAATTTTATAGGCCTCTCTAATTTCTTTTATGTAGCCTTCTTATGTCCCAGAGTTTAACAGTCCATTTGGCTAATAGCCTTGGCTATGCCAGTTTGTATTCATATTTTGCTTTTTTTCTTTCTTGAGTCTGAAGGTGGAGGAAGAAAGAAGCCATATTACCCACAGATTTTTTTTGTTTTTGGATTTTATTGTTGCTCTTGTTTTTGGTTTAGAAAGAAAAGAGCTAAAGATTTCTGTGTTTTAGGGGCTTCCCTGGTGGTGCAGTGGCTGAGAGTCCGCCTGCCGATGCAGGGGACATGGGTTCGTGCCCTGGTCCGGGAAGATCCCACATGCAGCGGAGCGGCTGGGCCCATGAGCCATGGCCGCTGAGCCTGTGTGTCCGGAGCCTGTGCTCCGCAACTGGAGAGGCCACAACAGTGAGAGGCCCGCGTACCGCAAAAAAAAAAAAAAAAAAAGATTTCTGTGTTTTATTAGATATGTAGAACTCCAAATTCACATATATAGTATTTTATAATATCATATTTATTATGTATTTCTTAACTAGGAATGTAGATAATTTCCCTCTTGGGTAAAATTGTATGGGAGCAAAGGTTATTTAACTCCACCACCCAGGAATATACCACATAGGAAATAGTATGTAGAAGGTACTTTTTTTTTGTCTTGGGTGTGAAAGATCTGAAATTGGAGAAAATTTCCCATTTTTTATATTTTTAATAATAGGCACATTATACTTTCCTCCACCACAAAACTGCATTCATGAAAAAAATGCTTTAACAATGATATTAAAACATTAAATGGAAGTCCCTTCCAGTTATCAGGTATGTTAAAGGATAGAGTGCCTTTTTTTTTTTTTTTTTTTTTGGGCTGCCCCGAGCCTTAGTTGTGCCCTGCGAGATCTAGTTCCCTGACCAGGGATCGAACCCAGGCCCCCTGCATTGGAAGCGCAGAGTCTTAACCACTGGACCACCAGCGAAGTCCCAGGGATAGTTTTTTTTAGCTTGTTGGGTTAATTTCCTTCCCACCTCCATCTAGAGAGCATAGTACATTTAAAATGGACATTTCTGGGTTTCCTTGGTGGCGCAGTGGTTAAGAATCCGCCTGCCAATGCAGGGGACATGGGTTCGAGCCCTGGTTCAGGAAGATCCCACATGCCGTGGAGCAACTAAGTCCGTGCACCACAACTACTGAGCCTGTACTCTAGAGCCCATGTGCCACAACTACTGAGCCTGCATGCCACAACTACTGAAGCCTGTGTGCCTAGAGCCTGTGCTCTGCAACAAGAGAAGCCACCGCAATGAGAAGCCCGTGTACCACAACGAAGACTAGCCCCTGCTCACCGCACCTAGAGAAAGCCCGTGCACAGCAACGAAGACCCAATGCAGCCAAAACTAAATAAATAAAATAAATGAATTTATAAAAAAATAAAATTGACATTTCCATAGCTGTTTGACTCAGATGTACTGAGAAGATGCACATGGCCTAGGATTCCTGCCAAGATCATAATGCTTGACCCACAGATAGCCTCTTTTTAAAAAAGTTAAAGTCTGACGGTAGGTTAATAGAAACTTTGTAAAACCTTGTATTGGTCATAGTTGTTGTTGCTGTTATTTTTATAAAATGTAACGGGTATAGAAATGGTCAGCAGTGGAATGGTTATATCTGCTTGCTGCACATATAAGGTTTGAGCTTCAGAGACCCAGATCTGCAGTTTATGGAGAAGAAAGCTGGACATTGAATTTTGAGAGAATTATCAATGGTTCTTAAATTTGGCAATGACAGAAATAACTATTTTTCAAAAAATTCAAGATAGAGCACACTTTGGGTCCAATTAAAGAGTTGTTTCTGAGACAGTGGTAGCAAAATTTGGAACCAGGACTACTGCATATATTTGTGTAATCTGTGCCCTACACCAAGAGAACAAAGGGAAGCTTAAGATCCTGCCCACACTCTGAGCTTCCCAAGCCATGTGTCCTGGCACAGGGCTGCCCAGAGGAAGAGGGCTGTTTTGTAATTTGTCCACCCAGTAGGAACATTTTTTGCAGTTAGCCTGGAGAGGGGCACCTTTTTGCAGTTGACTCAAAGGCATCATATATGCTAGCTGAGCCCTCTTTGGAACCCAACACTTGGAATAATTTTTATCAGTGTTGTCAGCAAAAGATCTCTGGGGTCATTTGATGATTAAATGTTATTACACGTTAGCTAAAGAGAGTTCTAAGGTTTATAAAACATGGGACTACTGCAGTAGTACTACTCAGAAGAAATAGCACAGCTGAAACTGGGCAGAAATGCAGACTTCTTTAAGTCTTTTTATGAGAGCCTATACTTGTAGCCAATTGTGAACCAATTCTCAAGGCACTAATCTTTATTTCCAGGAAGGAAACAGCTATGATTCAGATGATTACCTTCTATCCTGATAGTATGTGTAGTCTGATGTTAAAAATTCATTGAGAACAACGCCATATAAGACATTTGAAACTAGTCAGTTTAAAAGAGAATAAGTGATTTTATAGAAAGAATATTGGGCTGGAAATTAGGAAACCTATACTCTATCTTTTGCAGCCCCACTAATTCACTCTGGCCCCATACAAGTAACTTAACCTTTCTGGCCCTCAGTTTTCATATCTGTAAAGTAAAAGAAGTACACCAAATATAAGGTCTCTTTCAGTTCTAACATTCTGTGACTTTAAAAAAGTAAAAACCTTTTCTAGCCAGATCTTGAACTGCAGTTAAATACATTGATAGAGATACATTCTGTTTTAAATCACTTAAGCCAAATAATGATTTTTTCATACTCATTCTTGTTTTCCAGAAACTCTGTGAAGGCATATTTAAAGTCCTTTTAAAGGACATCCCAACAACATGTCAAGTGTCCTGCCTTGAAGTTCTCCGCATTCTCTCCAGAGACAAAAAGGTTTTAGTTCCTGTAACAACTAAGGAAAATATGCAGATACTGCTGCGACTAGCCAAGCTAAATGAGTCGGATGATTCTTTGGAGAAGGTGTCAGAGTTCCCAGTTATTGTGGAGTCATTAAAATGTCTTTGTAACATAGTGTTCAACAGTCAGATGGCACAGCAGCTCAGCCTGGAACTTAACCTTGCTGCAAAGCTCTGTAACCTCCTGAGAAAGTGCAAGGACCGAAAGTTTATCAATGACATTAAGTGCTTTGACTTGCGCTTGCTCTTCGTCCTGTCACTTTTGCACACCGACATCAGGTCACAATTGCGCTATGAGCTCCAAGGACTACCGCTGCTAACCCAGATCTTGGAAAGTGCCTTTAGCATCAAGTGGACCGATGAATATGAATCGGCCATAGACCGTAATGGACCTCCTCTCTCACCTCAGGAGACAGACTGTGCCATTGAGGCCCTCAAAGCTCTCTTCAATGTGACGGTAGACAGTTGGAAGGTGCATAAAGAGGTAAGGTTGAGAAGAATATTCTTATCTACTTGGAATTTCATTGGTTTGGGGTGTCCTTAGAGCTGCCTGCCAGAGACGAATGCTAAGTAGGGAAATGGAAAAAGTTTCCAGTTCCCTCATTAATCAGTTAAATGACTCAAGATACATTTCTTAACCATTATAACTCTTATTCTTCCCATTTGTGTAACACTTATCAGAAGAATAGGGTGAAGATTGACTACTGTTTTGTAAGATGCCAAATACAGTTCCTTTTCTGAGTTGTACTATCATGTGTCTTTTTTTTTTTAAGTGCCTCTTTCAGGAACAAGGTTTAAATGATGGATTTAAAGGGAAACAAAACAATGTGATTCATAAAGGTATAGGCATTTTCATTGCCTGCAGTCTTAAAGAAACAAAGATATTCAGGCAAGTTGAAATTGATCAATCAGAATTGATGTCTGCTCAATAGAGTAAAAGACACTGTTTATCACCTATCATCCTAGTCTCCTAACCCGTTACTCTGTAGTGTTAGATAACTATCAGAAGTGTAGGACAACTAGATAGCCATGCTTATAACAGAGTCCTAGAAAACAAGTATAATTATACCAGAATATGGGAAAGTTTATTTTAAACCACTTGACTTATTGCTAGACTAAGATCCTTCTCTGTGGCTTGGACCTTCTAGCAACCCAAAGTGAGGCAGATTTGATAGTTTAAATTTGAGTACCCACAAGAACAATATGCTAAACAAGAAGCTTAGTTTAAGGAAGTCAATAATTTTAAGTAAACTGGACATAAACTTTTTCCCTTGCTTCTAGAATCTTAACATTTCACATTTACCCGCTCTATTTAACCTTAAATAACTCATAAAATTTAGTCTCTGCCTTAAAAAAGAAAGAAAAGAAAAGTATTTTGGTGCCAGAGCAAATTATCTTTTCTGACAATTGACTTTAGGACTTAGGCTAACATTTTGCTGTGTCCATTTGAAGCAGTTCTTACCATGAATAAAGATCTGTTTTTGCCAGCAGCCTACTTTGAAAGGATTATCTCAGTGCAGTGCTATAGTAGGAGTATGCAGGCATCTGGGTTTTAAAGTGCAAATAGGTCTATATTTTGAAACCAAATATTTGAAGATCAGTCCTAACAGCTGTTTTAGATGACTGTAGTATGGTCAGTTTTTCCTGGGACTTGGCAGAAAAAGATGTGGAAAGCCCACATGCTCCATTTATGCTTTGAAACCAAATATTTGGAAGTATTTAAAATGTTATGTCTCTATGCTTATTTGGTACCTTCTATGGTTATTTTTCTTACACTGTTTGTTTTGGTGTTTTTAAGTTCTCCATTTAGTTGCAAGAGCTCTTCTGAGACTGTTGGTTTGCCATTGTTGGAGCCCCTGTTATTTAAATTGTGCCCCAAATAGTAGCTTATGCTCTTCAGATTCCTGACAGAAAGGGTTTATAGTTCAGTGGCCACACATCAGCATATGTATGGAATAATATGTAATAAATATCAGTATATTGAGATTAGCCCTAATTAGTGTGCTTCAATTATAATTTATAGCAGGGCTGGAAGAAGCTTCAGAAAATGTTGAAGTGGCAAATACTTATTCTGTATTATAGAATGTTTATTTTCCAAAAGATACATGATAAAGGATCAGTAGTCGTGAAGCAGGCATCTCAACAGAACTCTCGTGAGTCATGGATCACTTTATACAAGCATTATAAAATGTGCCTAGTTAATATGACTCTGGGCTATTATTGAAGTTATCAGAAATTGTGAACAGTATTGAAAACAGGACCTTGCCAACCCACTTAGGCAAGAGTGTGGGAAAGCTTATTTTAAACCACTTGAGTCTCCATAAGTCTCTAAATTCAAATTTTAGCAAGCATTTAGTAAATCAGTCAACAAATATTTATGAACAATTGCCAGGTATTATGCTAGGCGTTGTGTAATATATTGGCAAATAATACACATAGTCTCTGCAGACTTCAGTTTTATTGGTGATATAGGTAATAAGTAAACAAATATATAATTTAAATTGTGTTAAGTACTAGGAGAGAAACAGTACAATGATGGAGAATACTTAGTATAGTTAGAGAAGACCCCTGAAAGTCTCTCCTGAGATCTGAAGACTGAGAATGATTTGGCTATTTGAATGGGAGTATGAAACATTTCACAGAAATTGAACAGCATGTGAAAAGACACAGAAATCAGAACATAGAGTACTTTTTACTGAGGTATACATAACTTAGCATAAGGGAAATCTGTAGTAAGGATGTAGAGAAACTTGCCAGTAAGGGTCCATTTACCTGAATTTTAATATCTCCTTGATTGTCAGATAAAAGACATCTTTCTCTAGTTGAGCAAGCATCTAAAGAATTGTTAATACCTTAAAATACCAGCTGAAATAAAGGGATATGGAAAGCTTACTGTACAGAAGAATCCAACTTTAAAATATAGATTTAAAAATAATATTTTCCTTATGAAAATAATACATGCTAAATAATACTGCAGATCTAAGGGAAAAAAGCATACAAGCAATAAGAAAATACAAATTACCTATAAACCTACCATTCAAAGATAATATATATATATTTTTTTTTTACAAAAAATGCAGTCATTTTATCATCTTGCTCTTTTTCCCACAATAAATGTTCTTGAAGAGTAGTGGATTACACAGTGTGTTCCTTGAAGCCATAATGTTCCTAGGAGTAACCTCTGGGGATGAGTGGACAGTGTTTCAAGTTCCCCCCACCCTTTCTTTAAAAAGAGCGCCTTTGGGGACTTCCCTGGCTGTCCAGTGGTTAAGACTCTGCGCTCCCACTCCAGGGGGGTAGGGGTTCGATCACTGGTAGGAGAACTAAGATGTCACATGCCCCACAGGCTGCACAGCGTGGCCAAAAAAACCCAGCACCTTTGATTGTTGCTGTTGCTATTGTTTTTCTTTAAATTTAGGTCATAACTGGATTTCATTTGGGGTATAAAGAGAGTTCTGCAACCAAAAAAAATTTTTAACAACCACTTTCTTCTCATAAAGATAATAAATCTTTATGAAAGAATACTCATAAGTATATGTATAAAAATACTTAAGAGTATTCCTTCATAAGGATCTATCAACCTTTAACAAATCCCCTATGTGTAAAGATTTGTATTGTTTGCAGTTGTTTGCTGTTTTACATAGTAATACACGGTGAATTTTCTTGTTGTAAAATCTTTGTAGATAAATTCCTGAAATTCATGGGCCAAAGGGTTTTTCAAAACTTTAGGGTTTTTTGTGTATATCATATGTATTTAAATTTATATGTATTACCAAACTGACCTTCAGAAGAATAGTGCTAGTTTACACCTCTCAAACCCCTGGCATTTCACTTTTTAAAATCTTTACCTACTTTACAACTCAGTTGTCACAGAAAATGCAGATGTTTGGTTTTGGTTTTAACTGTTTCAGTAGGTATTTTTATGACTGTTCATTTACAATTTACAAAAAAACAGAAAATTAGGGTTTTTGAGGTTTAGCAAATTAGTGTGATTTGTTCATTTCAGGTTCATCCCTCAATGTTAAATTCCTGCCTGGAAGCCAATGCCATCAAGCATATTAATTCAGAGATTCCTTTCCATTCATTAGGAAATGTAGCTGGCCTTATTTCCATATGTGGTGTCAGTCTGTCTCCCTGCCTTCCTCCGTCTTTCTCTCCCTTTCCTGAAGGTAGTATGTTTAAAAAAGTCAAATTATTCCTTTTATAGGACCCCAAATCAGTTCTAGAAAAGTTAATGGGAATGGTCTTGTCGTCTTCTGGCTTCAGCACTTTGCTAAATCTCCCTGTTCATGGAGGAAAGCATGTTATTCTAGAGATCCCTTACTTAGCACACATTCCCTTCTGCAGTGCTTCCTAGGTATCAATGCAATGTAATGAGAAAATACAAGGACCAACACACATGTTAGAGCCAGACAGCCAAGTGCAAACAGAGAAGTAGTACAAGTATCTGAGTAGTCAAAGGATGCTATCTGAGTGAGATAAGACAGTGAGTATCTATAGGAGTTAATTGGGAATGTCACATCGTAACAGAAGAGATTAGCCCCATAATGATTTTAGAGACTTTGAAGGAAGTGTGAAAAAAGGACTTGACATTATTTAATTAAAAATAAAGCTTCACGCTGTACCATGTTTTTTAACTGAGTCGTTTTTTCAACAAACATTTATTATTGAGTGCCCAATATGTGCAAAGTTCTGTATTAGGCACACAAGATGCAATATAAAGCATCTCTGCCCTCAGAGAACTAACAGTCTCATAGGAAAAACAGACATGTAAACAGATGGATATATAACTGTTTGTCACATTATTTACTATTATTCTCTATATTTTCTATATGTTTGAAAATAAAAAAGAATCAACTCAGAAGTGCACAGATGCTACAAATGCCATATATTCTTGATCTTTGGGGGTATGTCTGACCTCACTGGCATAGTCTTTCTGCTAAGCAACATACCTAGCACAGAGTAGGTGTTCAATGAATATTTGTTTTATGAGAAATAAAATGTGATACAGTTTGCTATCTGTATAGTGGAAGTATATAAGAGAAATAGCCAAAGTGACAGGGAGGAGGGAAAGTTTATGATACCTTTTAAATGTTCAAAACTACTAATTTTTCTAGAAACCTAAAACATTTAATAACGTTGTTTAGAGAGCAGATTCTAGCCTTTTTGGAGATACAGCACACTATTTTATAATATTTATATTTCCTTTTGTAAGTTAATTCAAAAAGCATTTATTACTTTATGCCCGGCACCATGTTAAATGTAAAAGATGTGGAGGTGGAATACTTAATCTTTGCCTGTAAGGAACATACGCAATTTAGTAGGACAAATAACTGCAAAATGGCAAGGGTAAGACATAGGGTGAAATACTACCTGATGTATAGCTATATTTCCAAGTAAGAGTGCATGTGTACGTTTGTGGTTGAGTGTGTATTTGTGTTTCACTTTGTGTAGAATTGAAATTGAATTTTCATAAGACAAGTTTCCTAAACCTTCTTGAAGTAATGAGAACTACCCTGGGATAACAAAACCAGTTTGGGACTCATTGGTGTGAGGTATTCTCCTTTCAGACTTTTTTCTCAGGCATTGATTAGATTGGTTGAAGTGTTGAATGAAAAAGGTATGAGGATATTGATACCTTTACCAAACAAACGTGAAAATCTTCCACAGGTTGCACAGGAGAAGAAAGCAATAGTACAGTAGTGGAATCTATGAATAAGAAACAAAGCCTGTATAAAAAGATTCCCTCCCCCCCAACAAAGATCCCAAAGAGTTTCATGAGTTTTTACCTCTCTTTTGGTGTTATCTCATTTTGATTTCTACTGTCACAACAAGCCTGCTTGCTTTCTCTTTCTTCCTCCTCTGTCTTAGGGATTTTTTTGCCTTCTCAACCTTTGGAGATAGTAGGATTACAGAGGAGAGACTGTTGATGCCCTAAAGACATCAAAACTAAGCTCATGGGCTTCCCTTTTGCGTACCGCAAAAAAAAAAAAAAAACTTAGCTCATGAAGAAGTAAATGACAGTTGTATAAACTGTGTATTGTTTTAAAAAGAGCAATTATATTTACTCTTTCAAGCATCTGTATAAGATAGGAGGAGCATTAATCTCATTTGACAAATGAGGACACTAAAGATCAAAGAGTTCAAATTGTTTATGTAAAGTCACCCAGCAGAACAACCAATAGTAGGAAATAGTGTACACTCTGACCTTTGTTAAGTAAGACATTTTAAATGATAGCTCTCATTCAACAAATATTTATTGAGGCAGACTAATAGAATAAAGAATCTAGAAATAAACCTACACATATACAGTCAACTGACTTATGATACAGGTAACACTGAATTGCAGTGGGGAAAAGGTGGACTTTTTAATCAGTTAAAAATGAATTTAAATCCCTACCTTATTACCATACAGAAAAATTAATTTGAGATGGATAAGAGACTTAAATGTAAAAGGTAAAATGATAAAGCTTTTGGAAAGAAACAGAAGATTATCTTCATGACTTTTTTTTTTTTTCGGTATGCGGGCCTCTCACTGTTGTGGCCTCTCCCGTTGAGGAGCACAGGTTCCAGACGCGCAGACCCAGCGGCCATGGCTCACAGGCCCAGCCACTTCACCGCAATGTGGTATCTTCCCGGACTGGGGCACGAACCCATGTCCCCTGCATTGGCAGGCGGACTCTCAACGACTGCGCCACCAGGGAAGCCCCATGACTTTATTTTAAACAAGTCAAAAATTTCTTAAATAGGCAAAGATTTTTAAAACAGGACAAAATAAAGATCAAACCATAAAGGAAAAATTGACAAATTGGTCTTAAAATTAAAATTAGTTCATCAAGAGAAGAAAGTAAAAAACAGGCCACCAAATGGGAGATGATATTTTCAACACATATATGCAATAAAGGACTCTACTAGAATATATTCAAGTCCTACAAATAATGTCAATTAACCCTATAGAAAAATATGCAAAAGGCTTGAACAGGCACTTCATAAAAGAGCTATCCAAATGACCAGTAGACATAAGAAAAGGTGTTCAACTTTATCAGTCATCAGGAAAATGCATAATAAAATCTCTGCACATCCATGAGAATGACAAATTTAAAAGGCTGACAATACCAAGTGTTGACGCAGCTGTAGAGCAACTGGTGGGAGTGTAAGCTGGTATAAACACTTTGAAACACTGTTTGGCAGTACCTTCTAAAGTCTGTCATATGTATATGCCCTACAACCCAGCATACCAAATGACATATAAGAAAGTATGTTCATAGCAGCACTCTTCAGTATAGTCCAAGTGTCCATCAAGAGCAGAATGGATAAGTGAATTGTAATATACTCACTGTATTCAGCAGTGCTTGCTTTTTTTTTTTTTAACATCTTTATTGGAGTATAATTGCTTTACAATAGTGTGTTAGTTTCTGCTTTATAACGAAGTGAATCAGCTATATATATACATACATCCCCATATCTCCTCCCTCTTGTGTCTCCCTCCCACCCTCCCTATCCCATCCCTCTAGGTGGACACAAAGCACCGAGCTGATCTCCCTGTGCTATGTGGCCAGCAGTGCTTTCCTAACCTAAGTGTGAGGGACCAGATTTCTTTCCTTAGCTGTCAGAATGGAACTCTTGTATAATACAATATTACACACAATGTCAGACTGCTTGAAAAGTTTCTAAATGTTCAGGTGTACCTTCTGTACTCATGACTTTGCAGATCAGTGGCAAACAGGGTGTGGACCAGTAGTGGTCCACAAACTGCACTTTGAATAGCACCACTCTCAAGCAGTGAAAATGAACAAACTGCACCTGTACACAATAACATGGATGAATCTCACAACCAGATACAGAAGGGTCTATATTTTATGATTCCATTCACTTAAAATTTGTGACAACAAAAATCACTAACCCATGATGTTAAATGTTAGAATTACAATTGAAGAGCAGATCTGTCATTTGAAGGGGTCATGAGGGCAATTCTGGGGTTCTCAATCTTGGTGTTGCTTTGTTTTTATGCTGGTTGTATGGGCGTGCTCATTTTGTGAAAATTTATCTAGCTGTACACTTATGATTTGAGCACTTTTTTGTTTGTTTTACTTTTCATTTACATTAAAAATTATTGAACACTTTGTTAAACACATGCCCTCTAAAACTTGTGAAGGTACTAGATGAATGGAGAAAACAATGCATATGTAAGTATGTAAACAAATGTGGAATTACAGATTATGATTTCCTGAAAGAAATCATAGCAAGATACAATGATAGAGATAATGAAAAAAGGAATCTACCTAAATAAGGTGGTCAAAGAAGGGGCTTCTCTGAGACCTGGAGGATGAAAAGGAGTCATTGATACTAAAAGTAGAGGCACACAATCCCGGGACTTCAGTAGTTGTTTTGAGTAAAGAAATAGAATTTAGTGGACAGTAAAGGAGGGCAGGCAGACCTACAGGGTACAACTGGGGAATTGGTGTCATGAAAATTGGGACAGGAGGAAAGGGGATGGAAGGAAGTAGGATTTTCACTTACAGTTGCAAATAGTGGAAGGACCAAAATGGAGTTTTGCAAGGGGCTTGTCAACATCAGCATGAGAGGAAAATGATTGTGATATTTAAAATAAAGGAAAATCTAGTTTAAAAGGAAGTGCATTCTTAGTTAATTATCAAAACCAAGGAAAATATGAACTTTTTAAGAGTTAAGTAATGGGTGAGTTTCACATGCATTTCAGTGTGGTTCATATAATGTGGGATATGTAAAAGTATATTTGCATATTAGAGAATTTTGATTCAGGCATTTGAAGATAGATGGCAAGTGGAACAGTGTTCGTTCCAAACCCTTAGTGTCTCTAGCATTCCACCGGTCCCCCTCCCCAACACGCAATAATTTCGTTATCACTCATTTCAGCTCTATCAGTCTTACCTTTTGTTTCCTTCCTGCCTCATCCTTCCCCTCACCCTCAAATATTTCACTGAAAGTACTAAGCATTTTCATGTGTATCATCTTCTTTAATCCTTTTACAACCCTAACAATCTCATGTTTGTGGAGATGCATATGGGGAAACTTTGGCTTAGAGAAGCCATATGACTTGCCTAAGGTCACAACCTAGACTCTTGACTCTAAGTAAAGTGCTTTTTCTGTTATGCCACTGAGACCTTCATCTCTTCCAAATCTGCACATGATGGTGTTATTTTAAAATATTGTTATCCACATTATGAGTAATGAAACTGTGCTATTGTTTGTTAGATTTTATAAAAGACATCTTCCTAGAAGGGCTGAGTTATATATATAAATATAGGCTATATATGTATAATATGTGAATATATTTCACTTTATACAGACTTGAAATCAATTATGTATATACAGAGCTTTAAAAATTTTAATAGCTTTTGAAGTACTTGGAACCTTCCTGAAATATAACATATCCAGGATCTGATTATAATAGATAATTATCACTAATTTCATGTCTTCTTAATTACTAAAAATTTGGAAGAAGAAAGGTACAACCTTGATTCAGATGATTAAAAAAATTGTAGTGGCCCAAGATCTCATGATAAATTAGGAGGTAAACCAAGTGATTATTCAGAGCTCAGCTTATTTCCTATTATTTGCCTTCCCTCGGACTCTATGTGTGTCTAATACCACTACCAATGAGTAAACATTGGGAAAATAGGAGATTAAACTCAAGAGTGCTTATTTTTCATCACTTGCTGGTCGCTTTGGAGAAACTAGGAATAAGATTTGGAGGAACTAGGAGATTAAGAAGATTCATTAAAATGAAGTTGATAGATTATAGATTTTAATGCATTGTTTTTGAAAGTTAAGAGATAAGACATTTTTATTAAGGATGTACGACCCGCTTCTAAAATACTGATAGTATTATATCTGTTTGAATTTTTATAATGACTCGTAAACTGGAACAGTATACTATCCAACAAAAGAATCTAGACTTTCTGGAAATGGAAAAGATCCCTAGTTGAATTAAATCTTATGGACAGGTAAAACAGAGTAGGTAATAATATATGGATGCTGATCATATTTCTCTTTGCCTGACATGTCATAAGGGGAAGGATAGATCAATAACTTATGGTTTCAGCCATTTCTGGCAGTGGCTGTAGCTGTTCATATGAGATGATGACAATTCACTTAGTTAATACTTTGTTAATACTTGGGAATTCTTCCTAGAATATCCTGACTTCTATTATGTATGGCATAAGAATAACTGTTTTGGGTGTTAGATGGGCCATAGGATGACTCCCAGGGTTGTAGTAATGTACCGGACTTCTTCATTAAGGCATTCATTCAATCCCCAATTTTTCCTCACCTCTCTTTTATTTGCCATAGGGTGATTCTCATCAGTTTCGTGTCATGGCAGCTGTTCTTCGCCATTGTTTACTAATCGTAGGTCCAACTGAAGACAAAACAGAAGAGCTACACAGGTAGGTAACCTCTACTGATATTTCAGTGAAAGACATAATAAGTTCTTATTGTTTTTATGCATCTAATTTTAATTGTTATAAACACAAGAAAGTGAAAATATTACAGTAAACTGGGTAGCTGGTAGGTCAGAAATCATTACTATGCCCTGATGAGAAATTTTCATTCTTTGACTTTGTTATATTAAGCCCCAACAAGAGAAGAGAATTTGGCATTTGTTGCATTCAACAATAAAACCCAGAATGATAATAATAGCACACAGTTATTGAATACTGTGTGTGGCATTATGCTAAGTGCTTTATAAAGATTAACTTCTTTTAATCATCACACCAACCTTATGAGGTAGGTACTATTTTTCCCTTTCAATACATGATGAAACTGAGTCATAGAAAAGTCAAGCAGTTTCTCCAAGATTGTTCAACCCTAATAAGTGAAAGAGCTTGGGGTTGAACCCTGATTTTAATTACTACACTTAAACTAATAATCTCACTATTTTCATTGTAAGAGTATTTACCAAAAAGTATATCTTAAGCAACATGAATTAAATTTTTAAAACTTATTATAAGATTTGGGCCACAGTCTCAAGTATTAATATATAAAAAATAGTTCAATTTTTGTGACTTGCCTATTAGAGCTATTATGGAATGCTGTTAAAAGTTATCATTCTCGGGGCTTCCCTGGTGGCACAGTGGTTAAGAATCCACCTGCCAATGCAGGGCACGTGGGTTCGAGCCCTGGTCTGGGAAGATCCCACATGCCACAGAGCAACTAAGCCCATGCACCACAACTACTGAGCCTGCACTCTAGAGCCCACGAGCCACAACTACTGAGCCTGGGCTCTAGAGCCCACGTGTCACAACTACTGAGCCTGTGCTCTAGAGCCGAGAGCCACAACTACTGAAGCCCCTGCACACAGAGCCCGTGCTCCACAACAAGAGAAGCCACTGCAACGAGAAGACTGTGCACAGCAACGAAGAGTAGCACACACTCGCAGCAACTAGAGAAAGCCCACGCGCAGCAATGAAGACCCAATGCAGCCAAAAAAAAACAAATAAATAAATAAATTCTTTTTTTTAAATTATCATTCTCTGAGAACAGCTGAAGCAGTATTAATGCATCTTTCTAGTTCTCTTACTATTTTGTATCAGGTTTCTAGTAACAAGTCCTCTGACTTTAACATGAGATTGATTGCTCGTGGCACTTTATTCTATAAGAACACAAATGGCATTTTAAACAATTCAAATAAATTTCAAATCTGCAAGCAAATAACTTTGGCATTAAGTCTGCTTTACAAATAATTTAAAACTGAGTTCTTAGTAGAAATTACCTTTTGAGCATTTATAGTATTCTGTTTTCCACAATATGGCTTAAATAAAACTATAGAAATACAACCAGAGTGTAAAGTGAAACATACCCTTGTTCTTTTTTCAGTCATACCCATATTATTTTAGTTATGATTGGCAGTTTATTATTTGATATTGTACTGAGTTTGTTGGTAGGTTATCTTTATGTACTCTGCCCTGCAAGTCTTCAAAAGATTGTTTTCTTCAAAATTAAAAAGTATACTTCTTTCTGCAGCTACAGATCAAAATTTCCTTTAATTTTCTTGAAGCTGTGTCTTTAAAAATAATCAGATTAACTGCAATAAATCATATCCTCTAAAAAGATTTTATTAAGCATTTTTGTCTGACTAATTTTTTATAATCAAGAGACACTAGAAATCTAGCTATTCAAACTTAAAACTACAAGAAAATGGGTTTATAAGCCCAGGTATAAATGTATGTATGTATGTATTTATTTATTTATTTTGGAAATTACATATCACAAGTTAAATGGCATTCATACAAGGATGTGAGAAGAAAGTGTTTTGATGGGAATTGTTACAGTAGTCACAAAAACATTGTTAAGGCTTTCTCTGAAGAGTGAATTTAATATTTTAAAACAGTACCCAGTATTCGTAAAAAGAGAGCAAAACTGTAAAGAGGTTTTAACACTCAGATTTTTTTAAAGTATAGATTTCTTTATTTTACTTTCTGATGATATTTGCTTTAAATATTTATTTTTCTTAAATAAATTTAAAAGATATTTTTCTTTAAATTTACTTCTATAAGTTGCTCTGATAAAATATCTGTTAGCTACATTGTGAATAAGAAGGAATACCCCTAGAGCCATAGACAAGATTTATATGTATTGCTAAAAGGCTTTCCTGGGAGATTGAGGTTGCTGCTGACATGACAGTTTATCTGGGCTGGCCCTGCATGTCCCTTAAATCAGAATTAAAGTGATTAGTATCATTTGAGCAGTAATGACTCTAAGCTAATCCATTTAAATGCAGAAAAAATACTATACCAACCTCAAAGGGCTATTTTAAGAACCTTACTAGAATTGTAATATCTACTAAATTCTGCCCATTTGTAGTGACTCTGAAAAGAGTTTGTGTGTGTGTGTGTGTGTTTAAGACATCATTTTAAAAATAATCAGAATGTTTCAAGGTAACATCTCATTCTATTTTTTTTTTTTTTTTTTTTTTTTTTGCGGTACGCGGGCCTCTCACTGTTGTGGCCTCTCCCGTTGCGGAGCACAGGCTCCAGACGCGCAGGCTCAGCGGCCATGGCTCATGGGCATAGCCGTTCCACAGCCTGTGGGATCTTCCCGGACTGGGGCACGAACCCGTGTCCCCTGCATTGGCAGGCGGGCTCTCAACCACTGTGCCACCAGGGAAGCCCCATTCCATTTTTTAAAGTTAATATCTAAGTTTGTTTTTTGCTTTTTTTTTTTAAGGAAAAATGTAATGAAAGAGGTAAACCTAGATAGTGTGGTGTATGGTTATGCATTGTCATCAAACTCAAAGGGTTGTAATAATGATTAAATGAGAAATTAGTAAAGCCATCCATCCCTGGCACTGAGTAAGCTCTCAGTAAATGGGGGAGGAGCTGCTACTGCCACTGCCACAACACTGCAGCCACTGCTACTTCTGTTACTATTATTATAATGAGCATATTAGCTTTTAGATCCAATGTTTAGTTCTAAAGCTCCTTTTTAAGGTTTATTGAATTTTTAACATCTTTATTACAGTATAATTGCTTTACAGTGGTATGTTAGTTTCTGCTTTATAACAAAGTGAATCAGCTATATATATACATATATCCCCATATCTCTCCCCTCTTGTGTCCCCCTCCCACCCTCCCTATCCCACCCCTCTAGGTGGTCACAAAGCACCGAGCTGATCTCCCTGTGCTATGCACCTGCTTCCCATTTGCTATCTATTTTACATTTGGTAGTATATATGAGTCCATGCCACTCTCTCACTTCGTCCCAGCTTACCCTTCCCCCTCCCCATGTCCTCAAGTCTATTCTCTACATCTGCATATTTATTCCTGTCTTGCCCCTAGGTTCTTCAGAACCATTTTTATGTTGTTTTAGATTCCATATATATGTGTTAGCACACAGTACTTGTTTTTCACTTTTTGACTTCACTCTGTATGACAGACTCTAGGTCCATCCACCTCCCTACAAATAACTCAATTTCATTTCTTTGTATGGCTGAGTAATATTCCATTGTATATGTGTGCCACATCTTCTTTATCCATTCATCTGTTGATGGACACTTAGGTTGCTTCTATGTCCTGGCTATTGTAAATAGAGCTGCAGTGAACATTGTGGAAGTTTACTGAATTTTCATGTTTTGTTTAGGAAGCTATTTCTTTGTATATATTGCGATTGTGTAGTGAAGTCTGTTTTCTGTTAATCTAAGATTTTCTCAAGCCAGATGCTTGGTAGGCATGTCAGGAGCCTGTTAAGGTACTCTAGGAGATGAGTGGGTCAAAAAATGGCTTAGCAGCAGTTTTTCTGATATGTTGTCTGTGTAAGACAGTGTCTTTTTCTTTTTTCCCTAGAGAAATCAGGAGAACATGGACATAGAGATAAAATGAGTTAGTTCACAAAGATAACTGACATTGATGTCTACTTCCTTTCCACTAATCAGCATCTTATATAGTTTCTACAATCTATTAGTTCTATTTCATTTCCTTTTGTCTATACTTATGGTAATAAGTAAATTGTTGGTATGATCCACCCTTTTGGCTCCATTAAAGGACATCCTAATTCTGTCCAATTCTAATATCTGCCTAAGAGTATTTTGAGCCCTCTTGTCCATAATCAGTAAGCTTATGCATAAACACTTAGCCAAAAAAAAGTTGCATGTGGATGTGGTTGTGATTTTGTTTTATTTGGAGAGAAGGGGAAAGATGGGGATGGCCTATACACTAGAGAAGAAAGGAGAGGGGAGGACCAGATCTGATTTAATTTCTTGCAGCTTTTCAGCATAATTTCTTCCATGCAACACATTGGCATCTACAAAGCTTTTTTTTGTTTTGTTTTGTTTTTACCCAAAAGAGCCAGTGTTATTTAAAAAGTACTTACCTCCCTGAAGATTGGTTCAAGATGGTGGAGTAGAAGGACGTGCGCTCACTCCCTCTTGTGAGAGCATGGGAATCACAACTAACTGCTGAACAGTCATCAATAGGAAGACACTGGAACTCACCAAAAAAGATACCACACATCCAAAGACAAAGGAGAAGCCACAATGAGACGGTAGGAGCTGCGCAATCACAATAAAATCAAATCCCATAACTGCTGGGTGGGTGACTCACAAACTGGAGAACACTTATACCACAGAAGTCCACTCACTGGAGTGAAGGTTCTGAGCCCCACGTCAGGCTTCCCAGCCTGGGGGTCCGGCAACGGGAGGAGGAATTCCTAGAGAATCAGATTTTGAAGGCTAGCGGGATTTGATTGCAGGACTTCAACAGGACAGGGGAAACAGAGACTCCATTCTTGGAGGGCACACACAACGTAGTGTGCGCATTAGGACCTGGAGAAGGAGCAGTAACCCCACAGGAGACTGAACCAGACCTACCTGCTAGTGTTGGAGGGTCTCCTGCAGAGGTGGGGGGTGGCTGTGGCTCACCAGGAGGACAAGGACACTGGCAGCAGAAGTTCT